CCAAACGATTCAAGGAGGTGGATCCAGATGTGAAGAGGTTTTTGTTACAGAAATTAAGGAAGTTAGCCAAACCTGATTGTACATTTTTGATTGAGCCGGAAGTGAAGTCTAATCCACGGGGTTGACCAAAATTGAAGATTGAGACTTCCACTCGTCATGAGCCATCTGTGTTTGAACTAGTTGCTTCAGTACAAGATAGTTATTGACCTAGAGTCATTCCCAAGACGAGTGTAACAACAAAAAAAGGTGAAAACAAAGAAGACAGAAAAGGAAAGTGGTTTACTAGTGAGGTATGTAATTGTGTCATGTTATCTACTTTATTGTCTAACATTGGCATTGGGTTGTGATAGGTTCACCAACTTCGATCATTGAATCCAAATTGCTTTTTAGAGGCATTCCCTTCAGAATTGAGACGATATATTAAATAGGTAAAGGATGTTGCAGTAGATGGCAATTGTGGATTTCAAGCTATTGCTGGTTTGATGGGTTTTGGAGAAGAATGATGGTTACAAGTGAGAAAAGATTTACTTAAAGAATTGCATGCGTATAGTGACCACTACAAGAAATTATTTGGATCACAAAAGGGAATCGATGACCTTAGCAGTATGTTGGCATATTTTGAACCAAATCCTAGGTTGGACCGGTGGATGACGATGCCTAACATAGGTCATGTTATATCATCTTTCTACCAAGTTATTTTGGTCCACTTGTTTATGCAATAATATTTGACATTCCTCCATCTTAGTTGAATACTGATTTCTGTTGCCTCTCGCAAGGAGATATGTATTGGCTTTGCCAACAACAATCATTTTGTTCAAGTATTGGTAGCTAATATTTTTGTACATTCTTGTACATTCTAACGACAACATTTTTTAATAACGACAATATTTTTGAACATTCTAATTATTTTTTTAAAATTTTAATTTTTTTTAAAATTTTTGTAGCTCATTTTGGAGCTTGGTCATCCTACTCCACCCATGGCAACTAATTGGTGGAGGTACCATGACCCTTGTGCAATAGGTTGGGAGGTTGCATACAGTTCTAGAGTATAACATTTTAAATCACTCATCCGTCCAAACGTAGCCACAATTAAAACAGTAGACCTGGATGAGGACTAATGTTATACGAGTGAGATAGGAAATAGAATTAGAATGGATTTAAGTTATGTTGTTTTCTTTGTTATACTAAATTAGAATGGAAAAGAGTAAATTAGAATGGATTTAAGTTATGTATTTTGAATGGATTTAAGTCATGTTATTTTCTTTGTTATAATGAATAGGAATGGTAAACAGTAAATTGAAATGAATGTTATTTTCTGTGTTATACTGAATTGAAGTTGACGAAAAAAGTGAATTGGGATGAATTCAAGTTACACAGTGGTGAACAAATTTTGTTCAGGCATACAATGCTGACAGGATTACTATTGTTCGACAAAACAATTTTGGACAAAGTATATTTGTTCAGCCATACAGTGCTAAACGAATTGTTTTTATTCGGTTGTACAGTGTTGAAATGATTAGGCTAGCAACTGTGATTAGGCCAACAAGCATTTATGTTCAGCACTACAGTACTGAAAAAACCATATATGTTCGGCATTACAGTGCTAAACGAAGACTACCTGTTCGACATTACAGTGCTGAGTGAGTCATTTTGATTCGGTTTTACAGTATTGAACGAGGAGGATTTGTTCGGTTAGTCAGTGATGAACATAAACTTCCTATTTATTCATTAGTCCAGATTTGTTTATTCAGTGATGACCATAAAGCAATAAACAAACCAATATTTCAAACAAACAAACTATCAAACCAATTCAACCCATCAAACCAATTCCAAACAAATTCATTGACTTCAATAGCATTGCTAAACCATCAAACACCATCAAAATAATTCATTGAGTTCCCAAAAAGGTATGGTAAAGTCATATACAAGCCTAACTCATACTTGTGTCATATACAAATCATCATCAAAATGTATGCCAAAAATATTTCTCAGACAAACTAACATATACTAAAGTGTTATCTGACCTTTGTTATACTTGTGTCTAACACCATAAAAAAGTCTAACATATGTTTGAGACTATGATTTCAAAATGCACATTTAAAACATTTAAAAACCAACAAATACTAAAGTCTAAGACGTTGCTCCACGTTTCGTGTGACGAGTGTACACCAAGTTCTTTGATGGTGTATGTTCTTCAATGAACTGTTGGCCCGCCAAGACTTGTGTTATCATCTTCATGCATTGCGTAACATATCTCGGGTGGGAGCTGTGTCATTATATTCAATTTCGATCATTGAACGTGAAATGCTCAAGGCACTGTTAATACGCTGCAAACAAGAAAATAAAACTTAACAATTGCCTTAAACAAATATATATATATATATATGAAAATAAAAAGGTTAAAAATTGACATACAACTTGAAGCTGACAATAATCAGCTGATGTCTTAGTGCGTGGGTTACACTTAGAACGATGTGTCGAGTTTTGAACTTGCATGTGTAAAATGGAAGTAAACCAGTCCAAGTAACCTGGCACACAATCCCATGGATGCAAGACTAGAACACTACGTGCCGTCTCAGACAACAAGTGATTTTCCCAACTCTCCCAAATCGTATCCAAGTATTTATAGGCAATGATGTACTGTTTTGCAATGGATCCTCTAGAGGCTCGAACTGGAGCAAGTGGAGGTGAGAGAATAGTTTGCACCCTGCCAAACTATCTCAACACCCTATCCGGATGATATGGTTCAACAATCTGCATACATTTTAAGCATCCACTATAGTAAGCAACATCAAAAAAAGGATGCTCAATAAGCTTATCATGGTATGGATCCCAAATATCCTAGAACAGTCAAAAATTTATATGTAAGTTATTAATTAAGTTAAATAATAGCAAGTAATATGTACATACACGGACTTAAGATTAACACTTACGTCATGGGCCTCTAATCTATCGAGGTCCTCTCGCAACCTTTGTAAAATAGATGTTGACGAACTAGATTGGGTGCGAGAAATCCAATAAAACACACGAGGCTGATCTTCTTTATAGTCCAAATTGGGGTGGGGTCTAGCACCAACAAAATGCTCTTAAATCCAAGCTTCCAACAATGTCATATATATTGCCATCTATTTCACAACATACCTTGTGGCAATACCCAATTGCTGGTATAAAAAACCAATGTGGCTGCACCCCAAGCATAAGAAGCAACCAATCGCAAATCCATAAAAAAAAGAAAAATACACTACCAGAACACGTGTGCCAGTCTTGTCTACAAATAAGATACAACCTAACAAAAATAACAAATATGCCCTAGTTGCATACTCAATGGTGTTATCATTGTCTGCATCTGACACTCACCCAAACCATGTTACCTTCAACGCTACGTTGGCCTTATCTACTACTACTTCCAAAGCCTCAACTAGCAGATTTGCAGTGTCAACATTTGATAACTTCTTGCAAGAGGTAGATTTACCAATCACTAGAATCCCGAGAATTACACTAACATCATCTAAGGTTGGTGACATCTCACCAAATGGTAGATGAAATGTGTTTGTCTCTGGCTGCCATCTTTCCACAAAGGCCGAAACTACAACTTTGTTTACAAATTTATATGAGCAACTCACTAAAGAAATCAACCCCAAATCCATAATTAAACCATTAAATTTAGACAGTTCATTTTCTTCCAGGTTGAATGACCATTCACTAACTTAAAAACCATGATTTAAGCATTTAAGTATTCCGTGTTCTTGCAACATAGAATAAAAAATAAAATAAAAAAGAATTAGTAAAGTTGAAACAAAATTTAAAAAATTAAATTAATGTAAGACAATGACTCACATCATTATGCCAAATTTTTTGCTGCTACGTGACAATGAAAACTCTTCAAAATTGAAGGATCATCTTGCTCTCCAGAAAAAGGTCCAGTAAGATCTTCATTAACTTTTTCAGTTGTATCTGCTGGTTGGTCTTCATAGTCACCCATGTCTGTTGGTTCATCACCCGGATCATCACCTGGATCATCACCTATGTCTGTTGGTTCATCACCCGTATCTATTGGTTCATCACCCAATTCATCGCCCATGTCGCTAACATTCAATTGATTGCCCCCATCGTTTTCAACCTTAACCATTTTTGCTAGACCAGCACCTATGCCATTAATGACTTGTTCATTAACTCCACTACCTTGATCCTTAGTTTTACGAGTGCATCGAGGTCTGTTATCCGCTTTTTGAGAAAGTACAACATTACGTCTCCTAAACGCTGTTGGGCGTTCTCGAGCAGTTTCCACCATAACTGTCCACCAAGTACAATTAGATGTTAGTCAATGACAATATAAACAAATATATCCATTATCAATTACCCTTACCACCACGTGGCAAGGTGACACCGACGTGTCAGCCGAGGTGCCACGTGTCCTGGTCGTGACGCCGAGGTCATCTCGGCAGGGCCGAGGTTATCTCCGAAGATATCGGAATCCGAGATAAGTGGATAAGGGACAAGAGTCCTAGAATGAAAAGGGAACTCAACCTGGATGAGGGACAAGAGTCCTAGAATGAGAGAAGACTTCAGTTTGTATTAAGATAAGACTCTTAGAGAGTTTATCCTAATCTTATTGGGAGTCCAAGATTAGCAGTAATCCTGAGTCCATAGAAGTTAGGCTTCTATTGGGACTAGGTTTATGTTGGCTATAAAAGAGAGGCACCCCCATGGGTCTAAGGTATGCTTTTTAGGCTCAAGTTTGTGAGTTGAATAATTGATTATCTTTGAGAGATATACTGACTTGATCGTCGGAGTGCCCCCGGGTGGACGAACCACCGCGGGATTCTTATATTTCTGTTGCAGGTCAGTCAGGTGCCATCTATTCTGCCAGTGCTCTCCAGCTGAATTACTGAGTTGGCAGTGTGGTCGGAAAATTTCCCACACAATTTGGCATGTGCTTTGGTTATAGGGCTACAGATATTCAATTAACTTGATTTTTTATATAAATAATCTATTCAACGAGCTCTACAAAAGCTGCCGGTATCCTCCGCGTCTTCTTCCACGATTGCATGGTCGAGGGTTGCGACGCGTCCATCCTCATTGCCTCCAACCAATTCAACAAGACTGAGCTTGACTCCGACATCAATGAATCCCTCCCTGGAGACGCCTTCGACCTCATAACTCATGCCAAGAATGCGCTTGAGCTCGCTTGCCCTAACGTCGTCTCCTGTTCCGACATCCTCGCCATCGCAACCCGAGACCTCGTAAAAATTGTTGGTGGTCCCTTTTTCCAAATCCCATTAGGTCGAAAAGACGGCCTTGTGTCGAAGGCCTCACATGTCGAGGAAAACCTAGCTAGGGCTAACACGTCGATCGATGAAATAATTCGAAGGTTTGAGACGAAAGGGTTCACAGTGGAGGAAATGGTGGCATTAATGGGTGGTGGACACACGATTGGATTCTCTCACTGCAAGGAATTCGGAAACAGGATATTCAACTTCAGTAAGACGTTAGATGTTGATCCTTCGATGAACCCTAAATTTGCAGAGCGGTTGAGAAACATTTGTGAGAATTATCATACAATGCCGCGCATGGCGGCTTTCAACGACCCCATTACGCCGGGGGTGTTTGACAACATGTACTTCCAAAACCTTCTTCGAGGGTTGGGTCTTCTCGAGTCCGATCAAGTACTCATGAGAGACACAAGAACGAGGCCGATCGTCGAGCATTATGCAAAGCATCAGACAGCATTCTTCGTGACATTTGCTAAAGCGATGGAGAAGACTAGCGTTTATGGGGTTAAGACCGGTCTCCCTCTTATGAAATCATAAGCTATAAAATACCCACCTTTTCAACTTCAAACCACTTCATTTCCCTCTGATTTGAACTCCTCAGACTGTACTCCTTCTTCTCAAGCATCGTCGGTCAAAACCACAGAACCACAAAACCCTAAGCCATGGCGCCGAAAAAATCTCAACCATCTCCATCTGAAGAGAACAATGAAGACCTACTCAGCTTCCCAGACCCTATTAGAACACGTATCGCTCCTCTAAAATTTGGTATTACCGTATTGCCCAGCACAAGCTTTGTCGCTAAGCCTACTCTAGGCCCTAACTTCGCGTCTTACTTCCCAGACGAGCTAGCTCCATACTATCCCCTTGGTAATGGTGAGAACCTTCTTCTCAACCAACTTGGACTTAAGTGGACTAACTGGAATGTCAACAAAAACCCACTCAGATCGTGGAGGTCACCAAACTCTGTTTGGCAAAGCTGGGCCAGGAGAATTGAAGGTCACGACGGTGAAGTATGGAAGCACCCGGGCATTAGTGAAGCAATTATACTGTCGACTGAAAATTATGACATGGACAAAGGCTGATTACTGCTGCTGCATGCTTTTGGTCACAATCTTGTAACTCCCTACTCCTCAATTTTGGTATGATTTCCCCTACCATCTTAGATGTAGCTCACTTGACTGGTCTCCCAATCTTGGGTAATCCAATTCATGCTCTCCTTGAGCCTCCAACAGTGACCTTTACTTTAAACACTGAGATATGCTATACAGATTTCGCCAAAAAATACAAAGGTGAGCCTAGTTCCCTTGTCCAAGACAAAGAAAGAACTGCTTTTTACTTACTTTGGCTTTGTGAGTTTCTTTTTTGTGTCCCTGGGTACAAGATCACGAAGGAATACCTCCCCTTTGCCTTATGTGTGCAAGATGGCCAACTTATGGCTTTAGCCCCTTATCTTCTTGCCACCCCTTACAAGGCCCTATTTTCCTTTGTCGACAAGAAGATTTTTGGCAACTGTGGTGGCCCCTTCTGGCTCTTCCAGGCCTGGTTGTATGCCTATTTCCCTGAGGCATGACCCCCACCAGCTAACACCTTGAAACCAGTTTTCCACTCCTATGCTGTGCAATTGCTCACTTATAATAGCCAACCCATCCTCACTTTCAGAAATCATCTTACCATGTTTTACAACCTTCTTTCGAAGAGACTTTCCAACTTGTATATGCCATTTCAAAACTTCCAATTCTCCTCTAGTAGACTTCGCTTCCTCTTCATAGACCCTTCTGATTTACACAATAAGCAAGTCCAAGAACAAAATGAGACTTGGAGACACATTCTCACCTCTAGACATGTCTTGGTTGGCTGTTCCATATCCTCCGCCAAGATGTCAAACTGCAGTTTTGAGACATACTATCCCAATCAATGGTCCAGGCAATTAGGTCTTTCCCAGGGTATCCCTTATCCTTATTTCCACCCAACCATCTATGAGGAGATTGGGTCCAGAATCTACTTCAAAGATCCTACGCAAGCTGAATCCATTCTGATAGAGAACACCAAACTTTTCCAAGATTTTGGCCCCTTCTTCTTCAAACCTGCTTCGGACTGCTCTACTGCTTTTGACCATTGGTGGGGACTTATGACTGCCATTATTTTCTACAAGCCACTTGAAACTTGCCTTCACGATACTTGTATTCATAATCAGGGCCCCATATCCTCGCCTTCCATGCTTAAGGCTACAGGTATCCTTACTTCATATACTTCATATCCCTGACTGTGTCATGCATTTTTTTTTTCTCTACAACACTAACTTGTTTGACCTTTGACAGCCAAAATTAGGCCTACTACTGAACCATTGGTTAGGGACCAACATAAAGGCAAGGCTCTAATGGATCCAACTACTTAGACAAACACCTCATCAGTTTCGAAATTAATGGCAGACTCTTTCGCAGCCTCGTAGACACAAGCACAGAGAGGAACTACCACCCATACCCCTACCGAGACAGAGGTCACGGCGAAGAAGAGAGAAGAGCCTTCCACTGCTCCTGCTCTAAGTACAGACCTAAGTGATTAGGATATTCCTCTCAGCCAAATTGTTAGCCAAACAACATCAAATCCTTCAGGGCAGCTCTACCAAGTATGCCTTCACTTTACATATTTACATCATCTCAATTTCCATTCACGCCCGACTGATCACTTACTTTTGTGCAGAGAAAAAGAAAAAGATTACTCCTTATTGCTGCTGATGATGAGGATCCTTCCACTTCTCCTCAACACATTCATCCAATTCCCAGTCCCATCAACAATGTACCCAGAGAACCCACTGTACAACCAACTCCATCACCACCTGAAGCATCTCAACAAACTTCCTTACAACCTGCTTCACAGTCTTCACCATAACATTCTACACAATCTGCATCACAACATCCTTTCACTTCTCCTCAATACATTGATCCAATTCCTAGTCCCATCACCAATGTACCCAGAGAACCCACTATAGAACCAACTCTACCACCACCTCAAGCATCTCAACAAACTTCCTTACAACCTCCTTCACAGTCTTCGCCACAGCAACCCACACAATCTGCATCACACAATACTTCACAGCTAGAACCTCCTCCTATTGCTCTCAGGGATGTCACAGTTGGAGCTGTCTCGATGGACGTTGATTACCCAGAGGGCACTGAGCCTATTATTGTCCCTTCTGTCTTTAGACCTCAACCGTCACCATCCAACCCCTCCAATTCCCAAACTTCAAACAAAGAATCAGAGAGGATTGATTTTGGCATTTCAATCAACAGCCAATCCTCTCCAACAGATGACAATAGAAAATCCCCTCAACCAGAAGTTCACAACAACCAAGGTAAATATAAATACAAATGTGACTATTCATTTGGAAAAAAAAAACTTCTCTTTAAGTAACTGGTATTGTTCTCCAATTTACAGGGATGGACATAATACACGACTCATCTCCATGACCAATGTCTGAGAAAGAACTTGAAGGTCCTCATGACTTTCCCCTGTTAGCAGAACTAGAAAAAGAGCCTGAAGTCACTGATGCTGCCATTTCATCAGTACCCGAAACAACTCCTCCTGCTACCACAACCACAGTCGAACAAGGCCAACCGTCTGCGCGCACGCTATCAGGACAGGTACTACCATTTCCAACCTCATCCTACTTATAATAGCCAACCCATCCTCACTTTCAGAAATCATCTTACCATGTTTTACAACCTTCTTTCGAAGAGACTTTCCAACTTGTATATGCCATTTCAAAACTTCCAATTCTCCTCTAGTAGACTTCGCTTCCTCTTCATAGACCCTTCTGATTTACACAATGAGCAAGTCCAAGAACAAAATGAGACTTGGAGACACATTCTCACCTCTAGACATGTCGTGGTTGGCTGTTCCATATCCTCTGCCAAGATGTCAAACTGCAGTTTTGAGACATACTGTCCCAATCAATGGTCCAGGCAATTAGGTCTTTCCCAGGGTATCCCTTATCCTTATTTCCACCCAACCATCTATGAGGAGATTGGGTCCAGAATCTACTTCAAAGATCCTACGGAAGCTGAATCCATTCTGACAGAGAACACCAAACTTTTCCAAGATTTTGGCCCCTTCTTCTTCAAACCTGCTTCGGACTGCTCTACTGCTTTTGACCATTGGTGGGGACTTATGACTGCCATTATTTTCTACAAGCCACTTGAAACTTGCCTTCACGATACTTGTATTCATAATCAGGGCCCCATATCCTCGCCTTCCATGCTTAAGGCTATAGGTATCCTTACTTCATATACTTCATATCCCTGACTGTGTCATGCATTTTTTTTTTTCTTTACAACACTAACTTGTTTGACCTTTGACAGCCAAAATTGGGCCTACTACTGAACCATTGGTTAGGGACCAACATAAAGGCAAGGCTCTAATGGATCCAACTACTCAGACAAACACCTCATCAGTTTCGAAATTAATGGCAAACTCTTTCGCAGCCTCGTAGACACAAGCACAGAGAGGAACTACCACCCGTACCCCTACCGAGACAGAGGTCACGGCGAAGAAGAGAGAAGAGCCTTCCACTGCTCCTGCTCTAAGTACAGACCTAAGTGATTAGGATATTCCTCTCAGCCAAATTGTTGGCCAAACAACATCAAATCCTTCAGGGCAGCTCTACCAAGTATGCCTTCACTTTACATATTTACATCATCTCAATTTCCATTCACGCCCGACTGATCACTTACTTTTGTGCAGAGAAAAAGAAAAAGATTACTCCTTATTGCTGCTAATGATGAGGATCCTTCCACTTCTCCTCAACACATTCATCCAATTCCCAGTCCCATCAACAATGTACCCAGAGAACCCACTGTACAACCAACTCCACCACCACCTGAAGCATCTCAACAAACTTCCTTACAACCTGCTTCACAGTCTTCACCATAGCATTCTACACAATCTGCATCACAACATCCTTTCACTTCTCCTCAATACATTGATCCAATTCCTAGTCCCATCACCAATGTACCCAGAGAACCCACTATAGAACCAACTCTACCACCACCTCAAGCATCTCAACAAACTTCCTTACAACCTCCTTCACAGTCTTTGCCACAGCAATCCACACAATCTGCATCACACAATACTTCACAGCTAGAACCTCCTCCTATTGCTCTCAAGGATGTCACAGTTGGAGCTGTCCCGATGGACGTTGATTACCCAGAGGGCACTGAGCCTATTATTGTCCCTTTTGTCTTTAGCCCTCAACCATCACCATCCAACCCCTCCAATTCCCAAACTTCAAACAAAGAATCAGAGAGGATTGATTTTGACATTTCAATCAACAGCCAATCCTCTCCAACAGATGACAATACAAAATCCCATGAACCAGAAGTTCACAACAACCAAGGTAAATAGAAATACAAATGTTACTGTTCGTTTGGGAAAAAAA